TTCAAATATATGCGTGACTGTGAGAAATGACAGTGCACTTGATGAATTCTGCACGTTGCTTTTAGTCACTCACACGAGCTATTACAAAGGAATCTGAATGTACAAGTGATCAAAGACAGTCTTTCTTATAAGTAGAAGCTATTTTTGGTAACAGAGGTTGCACAAGTCACTTGTCAAAGAAAGAAAAGCTATGTTGATTGATCTTCACTGTCCATTACGTTTTTACACAATAGAATGAAAGATATAAGTAGTAAAAGCAATTAAAAATCATCTAACTGTAATTATAGAGCTTTAATGTTTCATAATATGATTCTAGAGAATCTGCGAATCACAACTTTCCTCCTTTATAACATAATAAGAGTTAAAAGCTGTATACTAATAAAGTTCAGAACAATCTTATCGCATTTGATTACTTTTTCCAGTACTTGACAAGTTATCAAGTTGTAAAACCAAAGTAAAAACTGATGAATGATTATTTATCAAATGCAAGTGTCAAAAGAGTTAACCGACAAACACTTAGTAGCGCTTGCTTAAGGAGATTCTCTGAACGTACAAAGAAAACTGTAGCTCCGAATATAGATTACGGATTGAAATTATTAAAACAGTGTCATTCCCAAATTATTCAAAGACACTCTCAAGTAAGAATGATCTAAACAATCCATAATCATGCAATCAACACAAATAATTCAACATGCCAAGACTGGACATAGGTTAGGACTGTCGAGCAACTATCACTCTTCGCTTTAAAAACTTGATATTCCAGGTTATTGGTACATGAGACAGTACTAGGCTATTAAAGTATCTAATTCGTTAGGAACTATGTGTCCGTGCAGCGGTATCAGCCGAATACAATGTTTACCGTCCAACACATTTCACTGTCATGTCTCTACACAATTTTCTAATTAATTTTCAACGGTAACCATCTACTCCGAGTGCATCACAATAACAGAATACGTTGTTCAAAGGAATACGTAACAGCGATTTCTGGTAGAATCGGTTGAGAAGCATAGAGTTGCCGTGGACGACACCCGCGAACAGGATGGCGTTTTCACGAGATTGGCGCGGACGACGAGCGAGAAGACGCGAGCACAAACGGGGTACGCGTGTCGCGTAAACATCGGATTCGACAGAAGCCGCGAAAATGGAGAATTACGAAGGTGGTATCGGAAGAACAGCATCGGGTAAAAAGTGATGATCCCCCCTACCCTCTTGTTCGGGCACCCGCTCCATCGCTTTCCCAAGAGTAACCCAGGCACTCGCACGCAGACGCACAGCTCTGCATTCGGAGACGGACAGGCGAACGAGCGAAGCGGCGAGAGAAAGAGCGCGGTAAGAGGGGCAACAAGTGCGGAAGGGGCAGCCTAGGAGGGAGACTCGAGGAAGAGAGGCGAAGTGCGGGGAGAAATATGGTATGGAGGGGGGAGAAGCCCGAGAGGCCCGAGTAAAAGCTATGTGCTAGAGGTTAAGGCACGTCCTACGGTACTCACTGCTGACTCTCATGCCATCCAGGGGCGGATTCGAGGGCGCGTTGGTGCAATCGGCAAAGGAGGTGGTCCTCGGTCGGCTGCTCATTCTGAAATCTTCTTGACCCGCTTCTCCACCGCCACCTGACACTCAAAGCTTTAGAATAATATGCCGCTTCTGCTTCTTCCTCTGCTGGTCGCCGCCTCGGCTGGCCGTGCTACTTCCTCACGTGAAGATAGCCAGCAGCGCGTCTTCGTCGTCGCCGTCGTCGTTGTTGTCGTCGTCGACACCACCTCGGACATCAATGACAGCACGAACGATAATTACATCGCACGCACGCATGCACGTCCGCACGGTTCGGTTCTTCTATATTACGCCACGGCCGCGCTCGATCGATGGATGGAGGGAGAGAAAGAGAGCGAGATGGGACGACACGGGAAGAAAGAGGGAGAGAGTGAGAGAGAAAGAAAAAGAGAGGAAGGGAGGGAGGGAGTAGGAGGGATAGATGGGAGGGAAGAGCTACGAGCGAGCAAAGCGCGCGCAAGATCGAGAAAACGGAAACCACGGCGGAGAACCGTGCTTCACGATGGTTAAATCACTAAAATAAAGAAAAGGGAAAACAGGGAAATCGGCGGCGGTCGAAATTTTCGATCACTCTCGACACTTCCTTCCAAGTACGCTCTCGCCACCGCTGACGATGGTGGCGGTGGTAGTGACGACAGCGACTCTCGCGATCAAAACGTTCGTCGTAACAGCGCACACTGGGTTATACGCTCCGTTGGCACAAGCAACTTCGCGCGACAGGCTTGCCCGCCGATACGATTCACTCGATGCTCTTTTTCTCTTTTCTCTCTGGCGAATGTCCACCAGCGAATACGATACACCGCGTCGATGGCGTCCAACTATTACACGAATTGACACAATTTACGACAATCTTTCGTATTAACCGCTGACTGTCAGGGAGTATCACGCACCGAGAAGTGCGGTTCTACTACCTAATAACCTGACGAGGGCGCGGAGTGTTGCGGAGAGCTATACCGCGAGGGGAGACAGGGGTTGACGTTTTCGGAATGGTTCGTACACGTTCGCCAGTGGAGGCACACACCGCCGCACTTGGTAGCCTTCCTATATAACACTACTCCACGATGATCCGGCTGACGGGTCGGATTTCTTCGTCGTTGCTGATCTCGCTATGCACTTCACCGTGGCTTGCACACGGTAGCCGGGATACTTTGTATATTTCCTCTCTTCGACCGATACCTGCGACCGTTGTCGGAGTTACATCGTACTTCTCCACTCGTCCTCTCTTTTTCGGCCTAACGGCGTAGTCGTCGATCGCTTCGTCCGTTTCTCTCGCTCTCCCGCTTTTCTTCCTTTCTCTCCCTCTTATTCTCTCTCCTGTTTTCTCTCACTTCTGCGCTCCAACTTTTGGAGTGTGCGGGGGAAGCGCTACTACCTCACCTCCTCCACTACCACTCTTTCTCACTCACTCTATCTTTCTCGATATGCTTTGAATCTTGTCACTACTCGTCACTCTTGCGCTTCTTGGCTTGTCAGGCCCGACGTTATCGACTTGCCAGGCTTGTACACGTTTCGTCGCCAACACTGCTGTGCTATGCGGAGAAACAAGCAGGGATCGTGCTGACGCCGACGTGGACGTCTTCGTCGTCGTCCGTGTCGACGTTGCTCGAGGGGAGGTCGTCGTCACCGTCGTTGTTCACCTCTGCTTTCAATAATCGTGAAACCACTATACAACCGAACGTCCCTCGAGCCTGACGGCGGGAAAGGGGTAAAGGCGCGAGCTAGACTTACGCGGCAAAACCAATCCTCGACGATCAACGACGTTTTCTCTTCCTCACCGTGCACACGAACACCACACCACTTACGAATTTTTCGAAGCCTCCTCAGACATTGACCCGTTCGGGCTAGATCGGGCCACTCGAATGTCCACGGACATTGCCGAAAGTGACGTCAGTAATACCCCGCCCTGCCTCTTGCCAATCGAATGATCCTACAGCAAGTGGGATGGCGCTCTGATCGCCCGTACTACTGACATCTCGCGGCTCTTTCTGTTAATAATAGAGTTGAGCGGCAAATATAAAGGCGAACTATATATGTTTAGAACTGATAATACCGTTTGTTGTATTATATATATGTTAATATATAAAAGATAATAACTAGATATGCATAGTAATAGCTATAAGCAGAATTATTTTCTTAATACACTAATTAGAAATTTTTTGTTTATATGAAAAATTATATCTCGTGATATAAATATGTTTCCTATAATAAAATATAAGGAAAATATATATTTAAGATATTTTGTATATTAATATTATTTTTGAAAATTGTATTTATATGCAGTTACAAATTTTGTATATTACAGTAATAGTTATACATTTTTTAATTTGATCTCTTTATTCCTTTTTGACTGTTATATTACATTAATCAAATTACATTGATATTTGCAAATTATACATATAAACAATTTGTTTCTAATTAATTTATTTTTAACGACGTTCTCTCAAATATTTGGTAATTTCAAAATGTAAAATATATTTATCGAAACAACTTTGATTAAAAAATTTAAATAATTATATATTAACATATGTCACGTGACCTACATCGTTTCCGGTTTGTAGTTCCACCTCCAGTTCGTGCGGTTCAACTGTTTCGGCGTTTGAATATATCGTGTTCGGGAAAACGAATTATCGGTTTAGTTGCAATATTCGGATTGTTGTGCTATAATTTGTGTTTTAGTGAAAGGTGAAGTTCCTAGGAAAAGGTATGGACAATAATTAAACAGACAGACAAAGAATAACATCGTTTTACTTTAATTTCGATGTCCCGATTACAATGGCGAACCCACGCTTGATCGCAATCAATCAAATTTTTAATCGATTACTTTAAACTATTAATTTCTTCGTATTCAATACGTTCGTGTATATATTTATTGGATTTCCATAAATATTCAACTATTATACGCCGTATATCTTCCTCATAATCCTACGGATATCGGAAAAGTTCTATAGAGATCGATATAAATGATACGGAAAATGTCGCCATTGTTTCTGCATATCTTATTTAATCGAAGGAATTATAGGAAAATAGACTGTAGATGCTTCTACCATGACACTTTGAAAAGCGGGAAACGACGTATCGATACAAGCGAACTCGACGTGACGTAACTATTTCGCAGTTGGTAACCGACGACTCCACCGTCGGTAAAATAATTTCCTGATTCAAGACTTATCAATCTACTGCAGCTATGGTAGAAAGCAACTTTAACATCGGTTACTAAAAACCCGTATCAATTCCATACAGCCACCTGGTGGCGAATTTGTGTAAATAGTGCGATGTAGGGAAGAGAATCCCCACTCTCGGTTCTTTGGCAGTCACCAAAGCGCGGGCTAAGGTTCAAGTTGCATTTTAGATGCGAACGAACGCACGTCGTTTTCGGTTAGTGGTCATGAACTAAGTTTCGTGAAACTCGACGACATCTGCGAAGGGGTACAGGATCGAGTGGTGCCGGTTGTGATATCTCGTCGTGGACTCTACGATCGTGCATTGGGTAAGTTTCAATCTGACATTTCTCCCTTATTCAACTTCGTCTCTCGATCGCGCGAAAATGTTGACGTTATCAGTGCATCGACTCTGGCCGCTAGTTACCGTTCCCCCTTCGGTGATTTTACGCAGTGCCACACAATGACGTTTCGCGTGGATGCTTCCTGTGATATTTACCGGACGAAATTGTCGTACTTTCGTATAATACGATACCGCGTTTAATCGCACGTGGAGTTGAAATACGGAGGCGAAGCGCATCCGGAATTACATGATTGCTTCGAAGCGGGGCAAATCATACGTAATTCGAATTAATGTCAACTTTCCTGCGTCAACGGAAGTCGTCGAATGTACTTGGTCCCCGTAACGTGCCGATGCGTGCTACATGCAGTAATCGACATGTTACGGCGATCAACGTGGTGTACGCGTATTTTCTCCGCAAGTTACCCTTTCCAATTTGCCTCGACGTAAACGAATGTCAAAAAGTGTACGATTTTTGGTGCCGGACGAAGCCGGTCGAAACGTGGATACACGAATCGGTGGCGATAGCGATATTCGCGAACCCGGTGGTGTTTAATAATCCAATGGATCGTTCTGTATTCCGGCAAGCTTATCGGCGTATAAAGTCATAAATTGACGTGCGCGCGACTGTTGGTAGCCATGGTTAGCCGGATCGTGAAAGTCACGTAGCCGCCGTTAGCTCGCCGCCTACGCGTACGCGCGGTCGCTCGTTAAAAAGGATTAATCTGAACGATTACGTTATCAAACGATCGGGGTGTGAAAGGTATTACGACAGCGCGGCAACGTCGTGGAGAAGTTCGCGCGGCGGTGGCTTTATCCGCGACGCTGTTGCCCCGGCCAAATTGTTTTAGCGGCGAAAAGTTGGCCGGAAGTTTAAGAGGGCGCGTGTTAACTGGCAGCGGGGAAGGTGGCGCGCGAAGACGCCGCCATATTAATGTCGCGCTGCGACCAACTTCTCGGGGCCGTATCTAGCGTAAAAGAAAACGGGCGAAATTATTTTTAAATCCATACGGACGCGAAAAATATTATTATATTTACGTACGTCGCGCAATGGCGGTTCTGGCGTTGTATTACCACCGGCCATACGATTGCATGTACACTCGTATGCGTGTTCCCGAGGAGTCCGAAATTCTGCCATTCGACCGGTATAATCCGGGCAAGCACCGACACTAAATTACCATTCGAATTGATTCGCGTTTCGACGCCATAGCGGCGGCATTACCGCGCCTATACCGATTTATTTGGAAAATGGTAACAATACCGTTTTCATTAAATGGCTCTCGGTCACAGTGTAAGGTCCTCTACTATTGCCAATGGTCCACCAGACCCCGGCGTCTGATGTTGACCAATGCATTCTGTTTCGTTACCCCGTTTAGTTATTAACCGATATCGCTACCGCGCTCGTGCGACTATACATACCCGATTTATGCTATCAACGGGAATTCGAGTATCGGAGAAACTTTTGTATTCTCGCGGAACGAGGATACTTATTTCAGCTAATTCATCGCGTAACTACACGTTTTGTTCGATGCAAGTGGATACAGAGCTTTATTCGCGGTAATTTCTGGAACCTGTTCTCCGTGTGCGCGGAAAATTTCATCGAATCGTTACGTTTTGTTATCAATGGACGACAAAATCCAGTCGCGAAGGAGCAGAAAACGGAATTGTTTTTGAACGGTTGGAAATACGACGTTGTCTTTGCAATGGACAAAAATAACGTTCATTTCGAGCGGTTGGAAAAATAATATTCGCATCGCAACACTGGAAACAGTATTTTTTTAGTGTTCGTGGGACTCCATCGCTTTGACTGGCCAGAAAAGTATGTTCGATATTTTGTATTAGCAGGGTGGTGAAAAATTAATCCTCCCTGATGTTTTGTTCCGATTGATTTATAATTAAAAATATATTTCGATATGTTATTTCTATATCTTTTTAATCAAATTTTTGTGGGATTGAATTATAAGTTAAAGCTGAAATCGATCACTCAAAATAGAATCCAAATGAAATTCAGCTCAGGATCGATATTTATTTACCCTGTATTGCAATGAATATTAGGCAAAATGCAAATTTTTCGGTTTAAGATATTTCACTCTATCCTCACGAGTAAAATAAATGAGTACATATACATACATGTAGGGATACTGTTTGATTGGCAAATATAAAGAATAGGAGATGTTACTCTATTCTAAAATATATATTAAGTCTACCGAAAAGTTCTGTCCGTTTTTGAAGTGAAAGAAAATAATACATTTTCAACAAATTTATTCATATTTATCTAACAATATCATTTTCATCGTTACTTATGACCAGTTCCCAGGATGATGGAATTAGGTATTAAGTCTGGAAAGTATAGTGAATTCGACAAAACTTCAGGAGACATTAACGGACAGAACTTTCCGGTAGACCTAACATTTATTACGAGCTAAGTGGGACTAGGAGTAAAATATAAACTAAAAGACTAGGCTGGTAGCTGATCTATGATTATGCAACCGAGCAACACTCTCGCTAAAATCTCTAAGGACTGTTTCAAGACAGCACTTGCACCCTTATGTAAATCTAGCAGTTTCTCTCCTTTCACTTAGGCTTTCTTTCTCTATCACTCACAAACATCCCGTCCATTTATGGGGTCACTTGTTCATCCACATGCACACCAGATATCACCCAGAATATTCGATCTGTACCCGAGGTTGCTGTTTATTGTCCATCATCAGCCAGGTATGCCCAAGTGTTCCCTTGCACTCACTCTTAAATCCTAGTATCCTACATTAATATATTTACTTATCGCAATCGTACCATTAAAATTACTGTTACCTATCCCTACTATGCTTAGGTACCCATAAAATACCGGTAGTCCTAGTGTTAAGAACAGTAGGGTACATTAAAAATGTAAATTGATTGCATACACTCTTCTTTGCACACTAACTTCATTCACTGATCATTCTTCCTTGAACCTTGACTTTGAAGATTGTATTTAAATCCTGGTAAATGATATAAAATAAACTATTATTAATAATAATAGGAGTATCCTACATACATATCCATTTTCTCCAGTGAAACACTTTTGGAAGCCCAATTTCTAAACCCTGATCGAAACTCTGTCTTTTATTCACGGGCAATTTGAATCTCGCTTTGTTCAATTCTTCTAACCCTTGGTAAACCCTTCTATAACCCGATATACGAACAGTACCAGCTGTATTTCCGCTTTTCGCGGCGGGAAAATGGTGGAAAAATGAATATTCGCTGATCACGCGTTGCAAGGGACATTAGCCACAATATGGCGAAAATTGCAGCGCGGGGACATGCATTAGTCACTGGAAACACGCGTTTGGAAGTCTCGAATTCGCAATTTCCTTCGAACAACGTATAATTTAAACGGTTCGAAACATCGGACCAGCCGGAAGCATGAATTATTCGCCGGGGTAGATCGGTTGTTGCCTTTCTCACGGGCGCTGGTTGGCTCAAAGACTCGTTCGCGACGCGATTACGAACGGTGAAACGGTATTCGTCGTAATTCGATGTAAATCGCGCGAATTCCTCGCGATTCGATTACACGCGTTCCCGAGCGTGGACCTTCTTTCCCTCTTCCAGTTTTCAAGCGCGCGTGTACTCGCGATGGTCGCGCGATTACCCGCACGAGAACTGGCCGGAAGGCGATAAAAAGCGCCACGGTGAAATCGGCACCGGTGACACACCCCGTTTTTTCCCACCCCGCCATCGTGTCCGCGGCTGTTGCAGAGCTTTACACCCCCTTTTTACCCTCCGCGTATCGTAACCGTGAAACTCTTAATCGCTCGCGAATCGTACGACCGAGCGTTGTTTCGTGATTCCAATTGGCACTGAATTCTCGGCTAGTTCCGGGTTTAAGTTAAGGTCTGGTTCAATCGACGAGTAAGAATCGATATTTCATTCACGCTGACAAGCTGAGTTTAGGTTTAATTAGTGTTAATATTTGACTAACGCTAAACCCATCATGATTGATTAAATGATCTATGGATAAAGAAATAAAATATGATAGACTTAAAAGTAAAATGAAACAGGAGGAGATATTGGAAAATTGATTATACTTCTACTCCAAGAAAAATTACAAAACAAGTGATCAAAATATGAAATTTTTAATTAAAAATTTGTAAATTATCATTTGGATTGTAGCAGGGTTAGTGTTAGGAGTATTAATGGATCGTGCAGAAATTATTGATTAACCCTTCGCACTCGATGACTTTTGGCTAGGGAAGGGTAGAAATTCAAAGATTCTCTACTGAAAAACATACTTTTTCGAGCAGTAGTATAATGATAGAATTGTAGAATTATTTGATTTCGATACCTCGAATACTGTTACATTGCTTTAAATTTGATATATTAATTAATATCGATCTTCCAAATTTTATGAAATGGTGACTGAATCTCACCTCTCGAGTGCAAAGGGTTAATATTAGATCATATTTGTTGCCAAAAAATGCCAAAGTTTTGAATATTGAAAGTTAAATTGCATAATTGCTTCTAATATATAAAATTTTCATTTTTTCTCGAGAGACAGTCGGAAAATGAATAAACTAGAATATTTTGAAATCGTGGTATACAATGTCCCTTTTTAAAATTATGGATATGACGTAACCAGTTTGCTGTTCTCGATTGGCACCTAGAAAATGTACGATATTTCGACGAAATTGATCCCTAATGCGAAATTGCATAAATCTTTCAGTAATCCAAAAAGACACGTTAGAATTTCTTCTTATTAAAAAAGACAGGATCCATAGTGGTCAAAACGTACAAAATTTTTCTATTAATTCCAACTTATTTCATATAAATAATAAATACCCTATTGAGGGTATTTACACCTTTCGTGTTAGATTTTCGTTATTTGTTCTTCAATCTATGGGTGTTTATCATAACACGAACGATTCTCGTTGTACCCATCTGCTGCCAGCGTTCAAGCCTGTAAAACGTATGGAAAAAGCCTTCCTTTTTCCGAAAATTAATTGCCACGTTTAA